AAAATTTCGGAACGAAGAAAATAAATTGATCAGCGTTTTAATTTAATTAAATAAAAAATTTCCTCTATCCTTTCTCGTTTTCTTCAAAACCAAGCATCACGCAACGCCCTAAGACAACTGTCTTAAAAACATTTATAACTATTTTGCAAAAGATTCCAAAGGTTTATGACATTTTTTTTGTAATTTCCGTTAAGGAAACCAAACTACATCTACATGTACTACTAACTAGTGGGGCCTAGCTAGAATACGTACTCGGTGGTCTGCCATTCTGCCCAGCTGTTTAAACATTGGTGAACCTGTGTGTTTTTCTCTGGGTGAAAGCCACGGTGTGATCTTGACCCTCTAGAATCTATTCCCACGACTTTCGGTTGCCCATATCATTCGGATAAATGGATTCTTCTAGAAGCTTTCCTCATACGTCACATTTATTTGCTGCCACACATGCATCCCTTAGGACATTTCCTATGCTGGCACTAATATTACCTTAATAGTATTCAGCTATTCATTTTAATATTAATTATTTCTTGTAAATTTTATGTCTTTTTTGATTTAGTTGTTAAAAATAAATAATTAAATAATTATTTTTATTATAAAATAAGAGATACTTGAATATGAGCAAAATAAGAATATATAAAGATAAGGTAATAAAATAAGATAAAAGAATAGGAGAAGATATAACACACAGTATGATCTTCTATTCTTTCATTTTCACCCACTCTATTTCTTTTCTATACAATGCAAGTCTATATATAGGCTAAAAGAGAATGAATATTACATAAATTTGATGAATAAGCTTAAATGAAGATTCATAAACTAAGTAGAGCATTGAACAAAGCTTGCTAGTGATTTTATGAATATTGCGGTTCTATGAATAAAGTGCTTCCCTGAATAAAACTTGAATCCAGATATGAGACTACCAATTTAATGAATAAAGGTTGATTAGAGGGTAAAAGAATAGAGATGAAACATTAATTTATTTATATAGTTTATAGTAATTTATTAATTAATATTTGATATTTATCAATTAATAATTTTAAATTAACTAATAAATTAACATTTTTAAACACCTTTATTGATTACTTAAAAAAAATATAAAATCTAAGAAAATTAGTAAAATCAAACCCACCCTTGTTTTAAATTTCTCTTAACCATTTCTTCCTTCCATTTGCTTCATCTTAATTACCCCTGCGGAAGCTTCCTTGCTTGCTTTTGTGGCTCACCTTCTCTGACCCATCTGCCACGAAAGTGCCAGAGGAGTCCAGTCAATGGCCCCAAACCTCCTCTCCTCTTCACGTACCGATGCCTCGACCTTTCCCTATTTCTCTCTTTTATAAGATTTTCTCTCTCACCAAATATTTCCATTTCCTCTGCTGCGTGCAAAACCCAAAATCTTACACCATGAATTTAATCAGCTTACCATGCTCCCCGAAACATGGGGTTTTTTCCGTCCTGCTTTTCGTCGTCTTCTTCATCCTCTCTGCGCCGGTATGCGAGGCGCAATTGTATTCTAACCAAAGTGACCATTACAGATATGCCCGGTTGAGTCCCACGATGGCAGTGCTCGTAGCGGTCTTGATTTCCTCTCTGTTTTTCTTGGGACTTTTCTCTATTTACATCCGTCACTGCTCTGACGCCGGGAACGGCAGGAGCCAGAGGCGGCTTCCAGGGATGGGTAGTGGGCGGACGAGGCGGATGGCGCGTGGGCTTGAGGCGTCCGTGATTAAGACGTTCCCCGCCATGGTTTTCTCCGAGGTCAAACACCATAAACTCGGCAACGGCACGCTGGAGTGCGCCGTGTGCTTGAGCGAGTTCGAGGACCACGAAACTCTAAGGTTGATTCCCAGATGCAACCACGTTTTCCACACGGATTGTATCGATGTGTGGTTAGCTCGACACACGACATGCCCCGTCTGTCGAGCTAACCTCGTGCCCCAACCCGGAGACCCAGTGGCTCAACCCATTGAGTTTTTAAGTGCCGAGTCAGACCTAGAGGCTCAAGACGTAGTCATGGAATCAGAACCGGAAGATGAACAGAGATTAAATGCAAACACCGTGGTGGAGGTACCGGCACCGACAGAAGTAATTGACGGGAACCAAACTTTGAATAGGAGCCACACAAGTGGTTCAGGATCAAGCTGCACTCCAAAATTCCCTCGTTCACACACCACCGGCCACTCTTTAGTCCAACCGGGTGAGAACACCGACCGGTTCACTTTACGGCTACCAGTTGACATCCGGAAGCAGGTGATCAACCGGCAGCTGAACCGGAGCACCAGCATGATGATATTACCAAGAGAAGGGAGCGCACGGAGGGGGTACCGAAGCGGCGGCGAAGGGAGCAGTAGAGGAAAGCATTATAGGCTGTCCGATAAACCGGACCGACTAGGCAAGTCAGACGGGTGGGTGTTTAGCATGACACCGCCCTTTTTTAGCAGAGCCTCCTCCATTAACTCACCCAAAGTAGCACCAAATTCTGCCGAGGCAACCTCTGCTTTGCCGGCTGCAACCGTGGTTGACTCTGTTCGGCCACCGGTCTAATGCGGTTAATATCTTCTTTTTTCTTTTTCTTTTTCTTTTTTTTTTGAATTTTTTCCCACAATTTTAGAAGTTGTTTTCGATAATGCTGCGGACTTTTGCGTCCATATGTAAATTGTCTATACAATTTTTTTGTTTCTTTCTTCTTTAATCCTTTTCGTTTATCTTGAATTTGAATCTGAATTTTGAAGGGTGGTCCTTAGTAGGAATATTATGGCTAAAAAATTGAACAGAAAATGATTTCCTCAATCGTATTCAAAAGTGGGAAATTTAGGAATAAGTTTAATCAGGTGGTTAAATTTTGTGTTATAATCCATGGAAGCAGCCAGTAAGGCAAAGTCAAAAACTAAATTATCTTTGTTGCAGGAAAAAAAAAAAGGGATTTTGACAGGAAATTAAAACTGAAAATATCCTATCAGAGAACAGCATTTTCAAATCTCAAAACGAGACAATAATTTATTGTTATTGCCAACCACATAAGCAGTTATTTACTTGCTTATTATAATCAAAATTTTATTTCGAAAAGTGTAAAAAGTATTCAATTTTTAGGCAAAA